GGTTAATCGCCTCGCCGTCTTTTATTGCCTTGCTCGAAACCGGACACCCAAAGCTATATCGCGAGATAATTGTAGTGGTTTAAGTGGATTTCGGCAGGGGCCATGGTTAGTACATAGTATAATGAGTCACGAGGCTCATCACAGATTGCACTTACAGTGCAAGCCGCTCATTGGCTATAGAGTTTTGGCGGGAAAGAAGGTTCTAGAGTTGAGTCCTCCGAGCGTAAGAAAGCTCCTATGAGGTTTCTGTCAAATTGAAAAATACGGTTTTGACAGAAAAATGTTCTCAAGGGTTTCCAATTAGCAATTCATTAGATTTTTTGGTAAAAGACCATCAGGGCTTGACAGTGTAATGGTTCAAAGACAAAGAAACGGGTGCGAGGAAAAAAGTATTTGGACGACCCGTTGAATAGCATTGGTTGATCTGTGTGCTGTACTATGGTACATCCGAGCGATTTCAAAAAGCGAGCCCTACTGGCACGCTTAAAAATTCGGGTCATGTGTAATGAAACAACTCGTCAAGATTTGAGCACCATCATAATATAATTGGAAGAGAAGTGAAGGGTAATATTCTATCATTTCTTGCTTTCTTGTTTCACTATCCTCCTGAGGGACACCAGAATTTGAGGGTACATCGAGTCCCCCTCATGACGTGAGAAACAGACATGAGGAAGATGATTCCACTTCTCTTTGATAAAAAACAAACAAACATAAACTACTGACAGGCCTTTGAGATCTTTTCGGCTAAAAAAAATGAATAAACCTTTATGGAATTAATTTTGGAATCTTCGTCCGTGCTTTGATAACAGCATTGCAAAATAATCGCATACAGTCTGGTACCGACCCAGTATTAATTTAACCCTTACAATCACGGAATTTTCTTCTTTGTCAAAAACTACTTTTTAAGCTGAATGTTGGCGTTTGAGACTATCGGAATCATTTGAGACCAAATTTTAATGTTTCGCTTCTCCGTAAAACTTAACCTCATAAACTGCACACGTTAACCTAGACGAAGACTGAAAGGGTTAAGGTCTTGTTATTATCACCACTATTTATCTAAAATGATAAAGAAGTGTTGTAGGCTGTTTGAGTAAGTGAGATCTCGTTTACCAGAGCAGAAGTAAGTACAGTGTCGGCCATAGAGGTTTTGTTTTGTGGCAAATACTTGCTCCTCCATGAATCAACAATATAAAAACCGAAACTTGTTCCAAGATAATAAAATTCGCGGAAAAACTGAAGTACCATTCTATAACCGTTATAGCTCATGATCGAGTTGTGATGCAATTATACACTCATTTCCAAGGATCAGATGCAAAAGACAAGTATTCTTCTAAGAGGATTCGAACTTTCGAGAAGGCAAAATCATGATTTTACAATTACTGTCTCTGATCATATCTGCTTCAGTAAGTACAATTTCCATGTAATATTCAAATTTGGGGTCTGGAGTTGTGAAGTATACGTGCTTAAAACAATTTAGGGAATAGGCGTGGTTAAACTTGAGCAGCATGACTCTAGTTCCGAAATGTAATCAGTGGCGATGCGTGAATGATCGGTTATCAATATTTCCCCATTTGAAGCTATGGTACAGAATCGATTTTTAAGGTGTTCGTTGCGGACACCCTGTTAATCGATTCTTTCAATCGAAGCTTTCAATGGCAGATCAATATTTACGTCACAAAGCACGCCACGTCAATGACTTTCATGAATAATATTGAAGCGATGCGTAGAACGTTCAAACTTTTAAAATATAGAAACAAAAGCACGCACTGGAAAAAAAAAAACACATTGGATCTGGAGTCCAGACTCTTAAAAACATCGACAAGAAAAAATTCTCTTGATTCGATCAGATTTAAGCTTAAATCAAGAACCAAGCCTCTTAATTTAAACGGATTTCGTTTTGATTCAAGCAAGAATCCGATTGAATCAAGAGTATTTTTTCTTGTCAATGTTTTCAAGAGTCTGGACTCTAGATCCAATGTGTTTTTTTTTCCAGTGTGCATGTATAAAAAATAATCCACGGTGGTAAGGTGGTAAGTATCACTCATCTTCCGAATGATTGGAGAACATTTCGCCTTCTTAATTTTTGCCTCGGTGTTTATTTTCTCTGCGTAGGAAGCTTCAAATACCGGAGAAGAACAACGTAAATACACCACCTTCAAAGATCTCACTAAGACGCGCGAATTCATCGACAAATCCATGCTGATCAAATTCATTCTGGATAACCACTGGCATATCTACATTGACGCTCCTCCTGGCTTTGGCAAGACCACAAACCTACAAATGCTCCGAGATTTCTTTGCCTTGGATGTCAATTCTCAAGGATACTCTATTAACGCGGCAGAGATCCTAAAAACTGACGAAACCTTTCAGAATATCGGTAAAAGGCGTAAAGGTCTACGGAATACCTTAGCAAAACGCGTATCTTTCGTGAGTGACACCCAAAGCCAATCCGATTCCGGCTCCGAGAACGTTACGAAAACTTTCAGCGTCTCCACAAAATCATTAAAAAACTATGATACTTTCTCGAAGCCGCCACTGAGAATATTGCAGGAATCGCCGGAGTTATTTGAGACCCAGTTTGCTCGATATCCTGTCCTCTTCATCGACTTTGAAAATTTGTCGACGAAGTCCTACCAAGATTACATACGTACTTTCAAAGTAATGATCTCGAAGCTCTTCGATCAATTTAAGTACTTGTTAAAAAGTAACAGACTATCGAGAAGCAATAAGGATGAATATTTACTCTTCCGTGACCAGGTTACAGGACTGAGCATGAACGAGGTACGTATACACACACTTGAAAAGTATGACTAAAGCTAATAAATCATAGGTTAACTTAATCTGAGTACAGGATTTTATGATCATCATGAGGATCAAATGTCGTAACTTAGAAAACACCTATCCCGTTCACGATGTTTTAAAGTATGCACTCAGGTTTTAAACGAATCTCTCTGGCGGAAATCTAGCCAACTTTTGCGTGAAATTTTTGAGGGCTTGAAATACGAAAAAGCAATAATGGGGGTATCTAAGATAAAATGGATAAACATTTTCTGATTAAGAAATTAAATATGACGAAAGGTCAAAAATGTTTCAAACTGAGTTACGCGTTTTCCTAATTTATTTACAGATCTCAGTAATTTTGGAAACAAGGGAGAAATAAACAAAGATATTTCTCACTTTTTTGTCAATTCATAACTGAAATTAGACCTTGCCAGTCCTGTTTATGAATGCTAAAAATGCAATTAATATCTTGACCCGTTAATTAATCTTAATGAATTCAAGAATGTCGAAACGTATAATTGCACTTTAAAACTCTTTTGATTTTAAATCAACTTAAAATATCTTTGACGCTGGTTCCAAGACAATTCTCAGACCTCGCCAATGAAAGTCTAAATCAGCATCAACATTAATTAAGTTTTAAGTCAAGCAGGTTTGGAGAGGATGTTAGGATAAAAGCGTTTCATAGAGAAAAGTTCAGTTTCTTATAAGTTCAGCCTGAGCCACTGACACAACCAATGAAACGGATAAAACAGCACAGTATCATATGCATCCAAAAACAATGCGACACTCTTAAATTTCTCATGGTACACAAAACTATTCTTGCAGGTAACGCTCGGAGGAGTAAAACTTGCCGGACTTTTATCGGCACATCATCACCGAAAAGCGATAGTTTTAATTGACAACTTTGACGTACCGATACGTGAAGCTCTCTTGGCGCCACATCTCGACATGGAAAGCTACAGGGAGATTGCATGGAGTGTTTCCCGGATGGTGAAGGGGCTGACAGAAAGCAGGTTTGTTCATCGGACCATAGTAACTGGCAGTCTCCGAATTGAAATTGCAGATGGACTGATCCATTTCCACATCTTCGATGCCGAATCTCTGCATAGGTGAGACCTTTTTTACATTGCATAAATGTTTGGAAAGGTTGGTGGGATTAAACTGACAAGTTTGTGTTCACTTCATTGACATCTAGCTCATAAAATTAGAACATGAACCCTAGCCTTATTTTGTTTTCTTTCTCCTCACTGGAAGACGAGATTCGTGAGAGAGAATAATAATTCTGCACCAGAAAGATTCTACATTTTTATTTACCTGCCCTTGCTCATTTTTGAGGAATGACGAAATGTATTGTATAAGACGAATACAAAAAAGTATGGGGGCCAAGACTTAAATTCGCATGTTTTTCTAAGCCAGGGAGATTTTGAGGTCCCAATAGCACCATTTTTCAACGAATAAAGTGAAATCTAAAAAAAAATAATTTAAGGTAGGGATGAAAGATAAAAATCTTAATATACTGTGGTTCAAATTTTTCATTGACTATTATTTTATTAAATTGTTTTTTTACTACTTTTAACTAACCAACTGCTTTTCCTTAATCGTTCGGTTTTCTTCTCGTTCCACATAATTACAGAAAATCTCAAGAAAAGTCCATAACATAAAAGGATATTTTTGCATGTATTGCAATGAAGTTACAAACTTTCGGACTTTGATCGATTCGATTCTTTCATTCTTTCGGCGGAGGATCATAAAGCGGCTGATTTTTCGATCCTTTCTGAAGATATATTTCCTAAGATTAGCTTTGGTCTCAAAACATATCATTTCATCTCTTAATAATACTACTTTATTCCTTCTTAGGTATTACGGCCTCACAGATTATGATGTTTTAGAACTTGCCAAACGGTCTAACGGACAGAAGAATATTGCACACGTCAGAAATTGGTACGGTGGCTACAAAACAGCGAGCAAGGGTCATGATATCTACAACACACGCTCAACAATCAGCTACTTCAAGACGGGTGTGCTCAAACCTTACAGATTTGAGTCCATCAAATTTAAAACCTTAAAAACTCTCCTGGCTTTCAGAAAATTAGGTCGCGACTTGGAAGAAGCATTCGATGATAAAACGCGACTCTGTATCCGGGAGAAAATTTCGTGGCGACGTTTCAGGCGACTGCGACGAACGATATTCTCCTCCAATCAAACCGTCCTCCATAGGAGTCTGTTCCTGCAAATTCTCCTCGACCATGGCTTTTATACCATTCAAGATGGAAATAAACTCCACGTGCCGAACTTCGAAGCAATGCTGGACATCAAAAACTTAATCTTCGACCGAGGATACTACATCGACAAACTAAACATCCCTGACCAGACTATTGATTCTTTTGTGCAGAGCATCGATCGCCTGAGTGGAGAGGACACGTCTTTTCACAACTTTTTCGGAGCGGTCACAGAACTCTTCAAGAACCGCATACCACGAGGTGCACGAGAACTGGCGCACACCTTGGTCACTTTAGTGGCGGACGCTCGCAAGTTTAGCTTGTTACGTGGTCAGGACACTCCGGAAAGTGGCCGGCAGGATGTCCTCGTGAAGCGATCCACGGAAATTGGAATCGTCATCGGAATCCTGGTTGGGTCGATTAATGAAGAGACGCTAAAACCTGTTTACCACAAGAGTTTACAAGTGTTTCCCGACTGTAAATTCAGGGTTGCGATTTTGCTAGGTTTAAAACCGCAAGGAGCGGCCGGAGATCTTGACATTTTGTACGCGTTTGACAATCGTACTGTTGTGGACAGCAGTACGTACCGATATGAATCACGTGTGACAACGGATGCCGCTACGATTACACAGGGTTATTCAAAAGTCACGCACCACTTACCATGAGGGGGATGGCCATTTGAAATTTTTGAGTTGCTCCCCACCCCCTTCCCCCGGAGGGGATCAAAAGTACCTAAAACATTTTCTATCTCAATACGAGGAAAAACGTCACAGACCGCAAATCGATATCTTAATTAGAACTAAAGTTATGGCAAGTAGTGCGTGACTTTTGAATAACCCTGTAGGAAAAACGGGTGGTCGACCATGACGTCGTCCTGTCACTTCTCCATTCAACAATTGATGTTAGGCAAAAATCGGTCGTCGAACTTGAGAGGTATCACTACCATCAACCGCACCGTTGAGAAAAAGAGAGAAGGCTATTCGGAGGCAAATTAATGATTAAGCCGCGGCAAAAATGGGGAGAAATTTTAATCGGCGATGGCATCACATCATTCCTGCATTCTGTAGGCAATGTTGAACAAAGGTCAATCTACCGAGCTTACAAAATGTTCCTCTTAATTTAAGTTTTGAACAAAAAAGACAGAACATAAATGGACCGCATTTTGCAATTAGGAACTATAAATTCCGGCTCAGTTTAGAAAGAATGTATGATCCACTGATGAATTTATGCACATAAGGGTTTTAACGGTTGAGCCAGAAATTGTAGTTTCCAATTATAAAATGTAGTCCTAATGAAAATTAAAATTTTAGAGGAGATCAATCTCTTCAGTCTGAAAATATCAGTTCCCTTAACTGCAAATTTTTGTACTTGTATTGAATCGTATTGAATTTTGTAATTTTCACCGAATAAAATAGCAATATTTGGCACTAATGTATTATACGTGAAAAATAGATTATAAAATAAACATTCACAAAGGACACGTTTATAGCGCATCATAATTACAGTCGGTATGAGCATCGTTAGTGATCAATAATAGTAATAGAATCATCAGTGACGATGAAGCCTGATATGCGCCTTCTATTGAGTGAGTATGTGTGCAGTCACAACTCTCAAGCCTGTAATGTTGCTTCACTCAGAAATGAAGGCGCGTGCGAGGATGAGCTGTTCCAAAGGCGCGTTCACACAGCCCGTCAGTCTACAGCTTCGCGTCAGACGTAAGAAAGAAGAAAGAAAGCCTGACGGGGCGTGTAAACGCGCCTTTACGTTTTTAAAGAAACTTCTACTTATCCGATTTTTCTTTCTCTTTTCTAAAAGTATTGGAGTACAAAGTAAACATACTTTAAATCTGAGCTGTGCTCGTTTAAAATTTTCGCGATTCAGATATATTTACATCCACTCAGAGTGTCTAGTAATTGTACATACGTCATGTCAAATGTTGAAAATATATAATATTTTTATTTTCGAAAAATTTGAGTAGCCCCTTTATTCACTTCCTCCTAATAGAAGTTTTAATCCAACTGGAGGTTATTGTTACCGATTACTTTTCAACTATAACTCTGCACCGCAGTTTTTTTTTTTTTTTTTTTTT